GCTCTGCAGGAAACATTTGATAAAAATAAAGTTTGACTTCATTTAAACCAGGTTTGACTAAAAACAGGATTTTAAGTTTTGAACCAATTTGTGTAAAAATGACGAGTTTTTGTCTCTTTGTTTCAGTTTAATAGTAAATTATTTTTTTATAATATTAAAGGGGACCTATTATGCAAAATTCACTTTTTAAAGGTTTTTTTCCTCAACTTTGGGTATGTTCTTCTTATAAAAACAGTCCTAGGACCAAAAAATGCGCCCAGGGGCATATTTACTGTAAGTAAATGTATTTTTAATGTATATTAACGACACATTTTATCCTTCTGTCATTTTATGATGTCACAAGCCGTACGACAACCCACCAGAACCTCTGTTCAGCCCCTTACTTAGCAACCCCTGGGTGAGGCTCCTCCTCAGTATAAAAAGCCGTCACGGACCAGTGTTGTACAATGCGCAGCTAATTTCACAACATGTCTATAATAGGGCAATGGGCAGAGTGTTGGACCAGAGAGTGAGAGACCAGGGTTCAAGACTGGCATGGACACAATTTAATTATTTATTTATTTTTGTTCGTTATGAACACGTTTTCTCATGTACCTCTATTGTTTAGCTTATTAAAACCTTGTTAAAGCCTATTTGTTTGAGTTTTTTGAGGTATTTTGACCTTTGCTGCTTCTCCCTGCTCTGGTAACAGCATGCAGAGTGAGCACAGAGCAGAGGAAGGAGAGGGGAAAAAAAGAAGCTGCGACCACGACTCTGCCTCTGGGTCTCACAGGGTCTCATATGGTTGTACAACGGAGCTTCTGCTATTATTAACCATGCTAACATAAACGTTGGCTTTGGAGGGCGTTACCAATAGAGCTCATTAACATAAACAGCTCTTCTGAACAGAAGTCAGAGCAGGCAGTACTAGAAAATGGGAAATTTTAGTATCTGAGAATTATTTTGTGCATTAAATTGAATGAACATGGTCTGGATAGGCCACAGACATACCAGAAACATTTCTAGGACCCATAATTGGTCTCCTTTAATAAAGAAAATCAGGTCATTAAAGGATTTCTCATTTAAATCTTAATTTCTGCTCAGAATATCAGCTGAGATCCTTCAGAAACGGATTTCCAAGGTTTGACCAAAACGCTCCAACTTTCTCATCAGAAGATGATCTTAGTGTCAAACTGTGGGATGAAAGGTGGCGGGTGATATGCATTCCTTCAAGGAATGCTAGGCCTTRAATTGATTGTGTTTTTGTGTCTCTGACATCCAGTAAAACWAATTCTGTCCACTTCAATCATTTAGTTCAGATTTCAGTTTGAACCTTCAGCTCACAGATTTTATTCTTTGTTCAGGTTGACGAGCTGCAGTTTGACGGAGATCAGCTGTTCTTGTCTGGGCTCAGCTCTGAAGTCCAACCCCTCCCATCTGATTGAACTGGACCTGAGCTGGAACCACGACCTGTGTGACTCTGGTGTGAAGGATTTGTGTTCTGGATTGGAGAGTCCAAACTGTAGACTGGAGGTTCTGAGGTCAGTTCACTGCAGCTGTTGGAGGKTTTCTATGTTTGTCCAACTAAAATCATTCACTGATCCTTCACAACTGATTCATTTAGAAATGTTTCCTTCATTTCAAAAGTTCAAYTTGAACACGTCTGTTTAGAATTTTCTCTTTCCAAACCTCTAAAAACCTTTTTAGAACTAAAACATGTTTGCTGCTTGTTTTAAAGCTGCAGCAGCTCAAAATACACAATTTATTCAAGTTTTTCATTCAAATATTTACGATTCAAACTCCTTTTTGTTTTCAACAAAACATGAAGCTGATTTATTTTATTACAAACTGAGCTGAAAATCTTTAGGACTGAAAC